CACACATTTTTATATAGAGATGAGAAAGACCATGTCTGTCAAAGGTAAGTGCTATTGTAGCCTTACCATATATCCTTACTATGTTACAGCTAAACAAACCTCCTTTTGTTAACCGTTCAGTAACTTAAGAGTGCCTTATTTTACCCAACATTAAGCCTTTACTAACAGGGTACCAATGTCAGACCTTCCTCCAGTTACAATGTTTCAAATTGTGATTTCAAAATTAATAGAGGCCTTCACCTAATATCTGTCATTCAGGTTTCAATTTTAAGAGGTCTATTATAGTTCAACATTTTTTGTTTGTTTGCTTTTTCTTTTCTGGCCTCATTTTAAATTTTAATTAAAAAAAAACCATCTTTTATGGGTATATATTTTCATTTGAATGTGTTTTGCTTCACTGGCCAGGCTTTTAAGTGGTAGCATTTTTGTTTGTTTGTTTTTTAAAGAATGACTTTGAAAGAAAGTCTTGTCAGTCTGGTTTTAAAGTGATAGCATTCCCTCTCCCCCTCTCCCCCTTGATAGAGGTATTTGGCTCTCCGTTTTATTTTCAGATAGCTTTGCCATAGATGTAATTTGACACAATGATTCCTGGAATTATTCTCTCACTGATTATTTCAGGAAAGCTCTGCTTATTTTCAATATGTTTCTTTTATAATTATTTCTGGAGATATAAAATATACAAATTTAGTAGTATCTCAGTCCAGTTACCAGAGAGATGTTTTAGAGCTAGACAAAATAATAACAAAATTCACTGGGAGGAAAAAATGGTCTAGAAACTCTACGGAAATAATGACATATAAAACTTAAGAATGAAGATGGAAAGGCATGTCTAGACCTCAAATTATAATATAAAGTAGTGGTCATCAAAACTATTTTTAAAGAATAGAAAAGTAGGGGCAGCTAGCTGGCACAGTGGATAGAGCACAGCCCTGAAGTCAGGAGGACCTGAGTTCAAATCCGGCCTCAGATCAAACACTTGACAAGTACTAGCTGTGTGACCTTGGGCAAGTCACTTAACCCTGATTGCCTCATTAAAAAAAAAAAAGAATAGAAAAGTAGATGACCATAACAGACTAGATAAGGAAGAGCTGGAAACAATAGAACTTATAGCCCAGCATTTGATGAACAGGAGAGCCAGTTTGGAGACAGTTTGAATGTTTGGAGAGCATTAATTATTTGAAAAACTACCCATTGTGATAAAAAGTTTTGAAAAAGTGGCAAAACAGTTGGAAATTAAGTTTAGATAAAAAGATTATACCACACACCCCAATAAGCTCAAAATGCATAGAAGACCTGAATATTAAAAGGTTATACCACAAACAAAAGAAAAATTAAAGGAGATCAAGATGAGGTACCTTTCACACCTATGGTCAGAGAGAGTTTTGAACCAAACATGGGCCAGAGACCATCACAAAAAACAAAATAGATCATTTTTATTAAGGGAAACGAAAAAAAAATTTGCATGAATAAAATCAATGCAACCAGCACTACAAAGGAGGTTATTTGTTTGGGGGAAATATTTGTATCATTTAATTCTGAAAAGAACATGATATTCAACATAAATAAGGAAATAACAGAAATATATAAGATTAAGTACAATTTCATTAGAATGCAAGCTCCTTGAGCATAGGGATTAATTCATTCTTTGTAATTATATCCCTTTCATCTGACACAGTGCCTGGTACATAGTCGATGCTTAATGTTTATTGATTGATTGATTAATTATCTTATTGCTAAGTGATCAAACACTGAGCAGAAGTGTTCTTAATTATTAACAATAATGTTGCTCCAGATCATTATAATAAGAAAGATACATATCAAAACAATTCTGAGGTTTCACTTTATAATCAGTAAATGGGCATAGATGACAAAAGATAAGGAATTTTCAATATTTAAGGACCTGTACAAAAACAGGCAATTGGCAGACCTATAAATTAGTCCAACAATACTGGAAAACAATTTGGAATTATGCAAAAAAGTGACCAAAAAGTCTATACCATTTGACTCAGAGATCTACTATTAGACATATGCCCCAGGGAGGTATAGGGAAATAAAAGTCCCATATACACAAAAATATTCATTATAGCACTATTTTTAGTAGAAAATAACTGTGAGGGAAAAGTAAATGTCTATCGATTGAGAAATGTCTAGACAAATTGTGGAACATGAATTTAATAAAATATTATTGTGCCATGTGCCACTGTATATGAAGAATTCAGAAAAGCATGGCAAGAGTTGTATGAACAGATGCAGAATGAAGAGCACAGAAGCAATAAAAAATATAGGCAGTGAGTACAAAATGTAAATGCATAAAACAAAAAATAAAACTGAAGGCCATGAAATTATTAGTGACTAAACTTGGCCCCAAAGATAAGATAAGAAAATGTTCCTAGGTGATGAGTGATTTATGCTTCTGGATTTTTTTATGGGCTCCTGTGTATCCTTAGCCCCATGATTTTTCTGTGAAAGCTGTTCCAAGTCCAATACCTATATTGTACTCTGAGGGCCAGTAAACAATTTGGAAACTCTGTTATCCATTTATCCATTTTATTTTCAGATAGCTTTGTCACAGATTTAATTTGGCACAGTGATTCCTAGAACTATCCTCCCATTGATCATTCCAGGAAAACTCTGCTTATTTTCAATATTTTTCTTTTATAATTCTTTTATTTCTAGAGTTGTAAAATTTATAAATTTAATAGTATCTCAATCAAGTTATTAGAGAGATATTTTTTAGCCCTAGATAAAATAATAACAAAATTCACTGGGGAAAAATGCTCTAGAATATCTATGGAAATAAAGAAATATAAAACTTAGGAAAAATGACTATACTTAAGTTTTATTTTAGATATTTTTCAAAGTTAGCTCTAAGTACAAAGTACTAAGTACAAAGGAACAAAGAACCAAAGAGAAAACTGACCACCTTGCTATATGAATTGTATACAAATAATATGGACAACTATAAATGTTATATAATATGTCAGTCCATAAACATTTAATAAGCTCCTTACTCTTAAATAGAAAACTAAGACATATAGCCCCAGTTTATATGCATTTTTAATCCTCAAAAACACAGTCAGCATTTACCCTGAGTACTAGTTACTCAATTTGCATGCCACCTATGTGTCACTTATCAAATGATGTTTGCTATTTAATTCTTCCTGATTGCAATCTTTCAATTGTAGCACCTCCATCTGATGAATAAGGAAACTCTGGACCAGAAAAGTTGAGCAACTTCTTTTGTCTGTGAACTTCTAGGAAAATGATAACATATCAGTAGCTTGGAACAGAAACTATGATTAACTATCAAACTACTTACCTATTTGCATGTCTTTCATGATAATTTTGGGAAAAGACTATTTCAAAAGGATATCTGTAAATTATAATTTAGTATCTTATATCAATATTATTAAACTTCTCAGTTATTGTTAATAACTCAGAGCATTTGTCATGTTATTGCCAAGTCAAATCATTGCAGAAAAATATTTTCTCTAACATGTAATATTAATGCAGCACATTAATTGTGCGTACGTTTTGTGAATGACTCAATTTATGATCTTGTTTTGAACCTGGCATTGAATAGTGAGCAAGAGATTTCACAAGCTCATTTGTTTCTTGGTTAAACGGTTAATGCCTCGCTTTTCTGGACACATAACAACCATATTATTTGAGTAATTTTTAATGCATAAAAACCCATTGGTGGTTCAAAAATGGTTTTAAGAATTATAGTAGTCCTAGAGGATCAACTAAAAAACTAGTTGAAATAATTAACAACTTTAGCAAAGTTGCAGGATATAAAATATACCCATATAAATCATCAGCATTTCTATAAATTACCAACAAAGTCCAGCAGCAAGAAATAGAAAGAGAAATTCTATTTAAAATAACTATAGACAATATAAAATACCTGGGAGACTACTTTCTAAGACAAACCCAGTAACTATATGAGGACTTACAAAACACTTTTCACACAAATAAAGTCAGATCTAAACAACTGGAAAAAATATTAATTTCTCATGGGGAAGCTGAGCCAATACAATAAAAATGACAATCCTGCCTTTTATTCAGTGCCATACCAATCAAACTACCAAAAATTATTTTATAAAGCTAGAAAAAAATAATAACAATATTCATTATAGCATCTCTTTTGTGATGGCTAAGAATGGGACGTTGAGGGGATGCCCATCAATTGGGGCATGGCTGAACAAGTTGTAGTATAAGATTGTAATGGAATATTATTGTGTTATAAAAAATGACAAGCAGAATGGTTCCAGAAAAACCTGGAAAGACTTACATAAACTGATACAAAGAGAAGTAAGCAGAACCAAGAGAACATAATACACAGTAACAGCAATGTCAGAATGAAGAATTATGAATGACTTAGCTATTCTTAGCAATATAATGACCCAAGACAGTCTCAAAGGACTCATGATGAAAAAACACTATCTACTTCAAGAGAAAGAACTGATTTTGTCTGAATACAGACTGAAGCATACTATCTTTCTTTCTCTCTTTCTTTCTTTCCTTGCTTCCTTCTTTTCTTTCCTTCCTTCCTTTTTTCTTCTTTCTTTTCTTTCTTACTTTCAAGACTTATTGAACAAAATGACTAATATGGAAATATTTTGCAAGATTGTATAAATATAACCTATATCAGATTGCTTACCACCTCAAGGATAGGGAAGGGAAGTAAAGGAGATATAGACTTTGGAACACAAAACAAAAAATGTCAAAATTGTTTTTACATATAAGTGGGGGAAAATAAAATATTGTTAAAAAATAAAATTATAGCAGAAGGAAAATCAAATATGATTCATTATATCACCTTCATTGATATGTAAATATCATTATGTTAGAACATAACTACATTATTGTATGAGGGAGGAAATAATTGGAAATAAACTGAGGCAAATGTTTTAAAAGGGCTAAAATTTGAGAACAATTAAATAGAGAATAAAGATTAGAAATAAATTGGAGAACATCTGGATTTTAATGGGCAAGTCTTACAACACAAGACAATAAACATGACTATTTAGCTTAAGTATTAGATTGAATTTATTCATTCAGTAAATATTTGTGAATCACTCATGTGCTGAGTAGATAGAATAATGTGCATTATATGAGAGGCATTGGGGCATGTAGATCGCTGGACATAGAGTTAGAAAGACATGAATTCAAATCCCACCTCTAATTTTAACTTGATGTCCAACAGGGACAAATCATTTAATCTCTGAGCCTCAGGCCACTACCTAATACTAAAATATAGACTGACTGCATCTAGGTAGAAGTAGTTTCCACACTGATGAAACCTTAGATCTTGAACATACTAACACACTCAAGAGGTATACTTGAGATCCTGCTGTGTAATTCCTACTAAAAATTGTTAGATTATGACATCCAGAACTTTATTTATATGAAATGTTTTCTACACTCACCTTCTTCACATTATATGATATGGCTTAACCAAGTCTCTCATCAATGTTCTTACAATTTTTAATTCCAATGCTCTTTGTAATTTTCTAGGTAAATATTGCTCATAATTGTCCATCATCATCCTCTGTAACATATGAATTTATATTCCAAATCAACATTACTCTTGGCTACCATATGTTTCTGTCTGGTATGAGGATCATTCTATTGGAGCAGGGATATAGACAAGGACAGGCCAATCATGGTAAAGAACTGCCCCTATTCTGCTTGATATCTTGCCTCTTCTGTTACCCCCATCTCTGATCTTGAGTCTTTCAGTTCAAATATCCAATAAATGATGTCTGCTTAAGTCATTTCCATTTACATACTTCTCTGTGGATTGAAGAAATGAGAGGGAAGTTGAACATCCTTTAAAATTGTCAACCAAATATATAGTCTATCAGAAATTCTTTCTAATTCATAAATCTGAAATGCGAGCTAATATTATAATTATAGAAAGGGACTGGGCAGCTAGATGGAGCAGTAGATAGAGTGGTAGCTCCAGAACTGAATTGAAATCTGGACTCAGATACTAGCTTTGTGACCCTGGTCAAGTCATTTAACCCTCTTTGCCTCAGTTTCTTCATCTGTAAAATGAGCTGGAGAAGGAAATGCCAAATCACTCCAGTATCCAGTAGAGTTGAGCTGGTTCACCGAGGGGTCAAAATGAGGAAAGAAGGTGAGTGTGACTACTGCAGAGGTGATGGTCGGGGAGATAACTGAAGGGATAAAGATTGGAGGTCACAGAGTAGATGAAGAATAGGGTTTGGTATGAGCAATAAAAGGAAAAAGTAAAATTCTAGAGCTTAACAATGCCAATAAACATAAAATTTTTTAAAAATTTAATCTTTCTCAATGAAAACTTTATTCTCTAGATAATCTCTACTATAACACTACTGTTTTTGAAATATTTCAATAGGATAATAGAATCATTTACCAAATGTTCCCTTATACCCTGTAACAAGCTTCTTGTAAACTCTGGAGGTACTCATACCACAGATAGAGAATCTCTAACTTAGATGACCAGGGAGACTTAGAGATGACTGGAGCCTTAGCCCCCTGGACCAGTCAGGTATGGAAACTGTTTCCTTGTGTTTTCAGAGAAAAAAAAATCCTAGCTTAACCTGCATGGGAGGTGGGGAGCCTTGGTAAATATTGCTCTTACTATAAATGTGTAGGATTGGCAGATAGACTGCCGGGAGTATTTAAACTGGCCACAGTTTTACAGAGTCTTTACACAGGTTGAACTGTTTGCAAAGAGAAATTCAAGCTCAAGTAATCCTCAGATATGGCTACATTTGCCTAGTCCTTGGGAAGCACCTTTGGTGTGGACCAATTTTAGTGTCTCATAGTCTCCACTGTAGTCCTTAGCATAGAGAAGTCTCTGTGATAACAAATATGTATCATAGGTGCTTAATAAACATCAATTGAATGAATGGGTAAGAGCCTTTTTTGTTATTATCGTTAAATAATTTTAAGCTATTCAAAGTACATTATACATATTTTCCCATTTGACACAAAATATACCCAAAGTTACTTATAGTTGGGGACACACAGTACAACTGAGGGAAGGGCTCAATCAAGAGCCTTTTGCAAGGCATAGAAAAACAAACACACAAATCTAATCTCTTTTATCATTCTTCCCAGAGTGACGTATATAGTATTTTTGCTTTCTTGAGATGAAAACACAATCCCAAACACTTCTATTTAGGAATAAGAAACCAGCAGAAACAGACTTCTCATTCTCAAGAGAACTCATCCTAAAGTAGGTGGAACAATATCAGCACCTAGTGGCTATAGGAATTCCATGTGTGTTTGCTAGCTACAAGTGATAGAGAAAGAAAGCAAACAGCTATGTTTGTTCTAAGGATTATACTTTTTTTTCCTTTTTTGGGGGGTAGGGAGTGGTTTGGGGGAATAAGGGTGGGCTTTGTAAGAAAGGAAAGAACTAATGTAAGCTGCGAAAATAAAAAGGGGAAAGGAAAAAATTATTGGAGCATCTTTTAAAGTACACAGAAGGAAGTTAAGAGGGAAACACCAAGAAGTAGGACAGCTTTGAAAGTAATATATTGAATTTATTATGTACTAATATTGTAGTTAATCAATGCAATGCAGTAGTGTAGTTATAAATTCAACATATGGAATTCATGACTTTTTAAAAAGCAAACTTTGTCATAAAAATTCATGGTTTCATATATAAACTTCTGTTTTACTTTACATATAGAAAAGTACTTTTTTTTAGTGTTCTTTAATTTAGCGTTTTAAAAAAAAGTTCACAGGCTGGAGAAAATAGAAATATGAAAACACTTGTAGTAGGATTTGGAGCTTGCTTCCAATAGGCCTTTATCAGCCATCTCAGAGAACATGTGCTGGGGCTTCCCCGGAAACTTCTAGGCACTAAGGGATGGCACAGTATTTAAGCCAACATTGGTTGAGGACCTAAGGCTAGATCTCAATGGATCTTTGGTCACCTAGAATCAGAACAAAAAAAAAAAAAACCCGCAGTAGAAAAGGGCCAACCTCAAGCTTACCTAGCTGACCTTTGCAGTACTTTTATTTTATCCAATGTAAAGGTTTAAAAAAAAAAATCATCATTATGAGCCAGTAGGATGTAAGCTGCTAGGGGCCAGGGACAGCTTGTTTTTTTTTTTTAATATTTTTTTAATATTTGGCACCTAGCATAATGCCTTACATATAAAAGGTGTTTAGGAAATGGTTATTTGGCAGGGAAGGAGAAAGTTCATGGTCCTTTCCCCAATGTCTCTTGGGGTAGGCTAGAGTAGTTCTGATTTGCAGCTGAAGAGAAAAAAAATTAGCTAAAGCCTAGTCTTTCCATTTTAAAGAACAGCTGAATGACTGATCTTTCTTGCTCACTGGCTAGTGAGTGGATTGCTTAGCCATATCAAAATAGTGGCCCTTCAGGGGGGAGGCAAACGTGTCCCTAAAACTTCTAAAGTCTCTACACAGATTCACTTGGATGGCCCCTAGCAGGCAATACCCAAGACAAACTCTTAGTTTTTCCTCTGAGCTAGACATAATTTTATTATAGCCACTTTCTTGTAGAGAAAAAGGTCACTTGGCTCATTCATATGCTTTCATATTTCAAATTGAAATAACAACCAAAGATTGTGAAGCGATGAAAGGGGAAGTAAGCTATCCTAGTTCCTTCCATTGAAATTGTGTAAAGTATTTATAGTAAACTAATTTGCCTTTTATCAGCCTTCTTTTGAAATATTGCTGATTTCCCCCTGAAGGTTTGACCTGTTAAGAAATATGTATCTACCAAGAAAAAATCAGAAGGTAAGTTTCTTGAGGGCAGGGGATGTTATGTTTTTCTCTCTAACGCGGGTGACTAGCAACACAAAGGCATTAATAAATGCTTTGTCGAATATAATTGACTTCAAAGAAGTATATTAAACAAAGATTTTTAATTTGGAATTAGTTACAGTTTGCCCAGGAACAACAGCCACCTGTTTCCCATAGCTTTCTTGGCATCCAGTTTGTTGTCTGGGAGAAAAGAACCTTAAAACTGAATGCCTTCCTGTAGATTTACAAAGATGTGAAAACATGCAGGACTTTCAATTCTCAGGGAGTCATTTTTCCCCCTTCAGCTGGTAATAGAATTCTCAAAAGAGAAAACATTTTATAATTGTCAAATAGATGACATATAAGATTTGCTAAAGGAACCCAGCTTCTTGGTACATACTTGAGTTAGTTGATGGCTAAGCACGTGTGTTTTGGTGTGCTTTCTGTTGGAAGAGCAATCTTCTAATTCCATGCCAGGGTCAGATGTTGTACCTAGACAAAAGATAATTCTATTATTATAGAGTCCTGCACAATGGAGTGTGTTACGATATCACTTGTGTTTCTATAGCAACCCCTGGATGGTTTTAGCGGAGTAAAAATGAATGCATAGAAAGCAAAGTAGTGAAGATGACAGGCGGAGAAGGTACCCTGGCACATATAGTAAGATAAAAGCTCTATAAAGAACATATGGCTTATATATGTTAACATATATTCTATTTTTAAAACCCAGATTGTGTAATTTAAAATAAACACCAACAGGTGAGAGAAGAAAGAAACAGTAGCTTGTTTCAAAGTTTGGGTTTTTTTTTTGTTGTTGTTGTTGTTGTTGTTATTGAAATATAAGATCCTAATGGCATGGGGAAATTTTCTAGCTTTGAGGCCAGACTTAAACTGAAAAAGAAGGTAAGGAACAAAATAGGTCAATTAAAGGATATACTGTCATGAGACTTTCAGGGAATCATTGCTCAAGAGTCAAGAATATTGGAGACTGAAGTTATCATGGATTCTGGAAACTCAGCTCATATGGGAAGACTTTCTAAACAAAATGGGTGAGAGGAGGTTCCTATACCCCTCAATCCTTTCTCTAGCAAAAGATGTTCAATTTATGCTTATAAATCACCAACATCCTGGGAGAAAAAACCTTCAGGAACTGTAAAACAAAAAATGAAAATGACATTTTAAGCAGTGATATCCCTATGTTGGTGATCAATATGTAGATATGTGATCGGAAGACTGGAGGGTAGAAACTCCTCCCAAAGCCTTCCCTTACAGACTGCAAAGAAACTACTTTGGAAAGGAATAAATAGCCAGTTGTAGCCTGCACTTTTAATTCATTAGAAGGGCATAAAAAAGTATCACTATGAGCCAGAAGTTATGTAAGCTCCTTGAGGCCAGGGACAATTTGTTTTAAAAAAAAAAATCTTTAGCACCTAGCATAATGCCTTACACATAAACAGTTTTTAGGAAATGTCTGTCAATAAAATCAAATGATCAGTAGTTTTCCCCCCTCATAGAATGTGCTGGGCATCAAAATTATATATATATATATATATACCCACACATATATAATATTTACATAATATATTTGATATGTGTATGTATATATATATAAACATATGTGTATGTATATCTCTATATAGAGATATACGTATACAAAAGAAAGAGGGTCATAGGGCAACATGGAATTAAGTCATATTTTTGTTATTATTTTGTTAAAGTTAATATGTATATTTGTAACAAATGACCAAAAAATTGAGATTGGTTTTGTATACTTTTTATTTTGTTTATTTGCATGTGTTTGGTATTTGCTAAGTTTATTTAAGAAGGAAAAGAAAACAACATGCTGGGGACCTTTTTTGGACTAGGCTATTTATAGCATCTAGCCAATCCATATAGTTATAGATTTTTAGCTGAAAGGGACGCTAGAGATTTAGTCCGACCTTGCCAGCTTACCTATTAGAATGTAAGCCCTTGAAAGTGGGGGCTGTCTTGCTTTTTATATTTGTCCCGCTCTGTGCCTGTTACATAGTAAGTACATAGTAAATGCTTTTTTAATCATTCAAGTAAGTTACAGCTCTTACAGGCAGAGACATCTTGCTTTTGTTAATGATAATTTTGCAGAATAGGATTGTATCTTTTAGAACTCAAGGAAATCTCAGAGATCATCTAGTTAAACACTCTCATTTTGACACTGAGGCTCAGAAAATTCAAGTGACTTGTCCGAAGTCACCCAGCTAGTACATAATAGACTTGGGACTCAAAATCAGGCCCTCTGCAATTCAAGTCCAGTTTTATTTCCACTAAACCATGCTACAAGTAAAACTTGATGGATACGTGCAAGTATGTATGTTTGTATATGTTTTCTTAGTGGTGGGGAGCAGTTTGGAGAAGTTAACCATAGAGAGGTGAATATAGAGGTGAAGCTCAGGTAGAGGGGGACAATTTGAAATGTGAAAGCAAAAACTATTTCAAAGTTCTGGAATTTTAACTTGATTAGGGGTAGGCAAGAGAGAAGAGTATACAACAAACCTTCACTGAGTACCCATGAAGGTAGAACAGTGTAATAATAGTGCCGTTCAGAGACTTCAAAATATAAATGATGCAGAATAAACATTTTTTTATTTAAAATTTGGTATAACATGTATAACCTGTATCGAATTGATTGCCTTCTCAGTAGGGGGGAGGGGGTAGGAAGAGAGGAAGGGTGAGACTTTGGAACTCCAAGTTTTAAAAACAGAAGTTAAAATTTGTTACTACATGTAACTGGGAAAAAAATAAAACACTAAAAAAAATCCAGTGTAACAAATTTTGGCAGTTTAAAAATATACATATAAGTACAGTAAATTATCTGGGAGCTAGTTTTCTGGCAAACAGCATTCTAGATCAGAGTTGTGAACCTGAAATAGAACTGGGACTCTGAAAGGGAAAAAAAGTCCCCTGAATAGGTGAAGCTGCTGTCTTAGAGTCGATGAACTAAATTTCATTCCCATTATTTTATGAAAGGTGCCTTGTTATTCTTATTTATTCATATGTAAAGCACAAGAACAGCATACTCAGTTGCTAGACTTCTAGCTCCATAAATTAGAAGCAATACAGCTAGGTGGCGTAGTGGATAGAGCACCGGCCCTGAAGTCAGGAGTACCTGAGTTCAAATCCGGCCTCAGACCAAACACTTGACACTAGCTGTGTGACCCTGGGCAAGTCACTTAACCCCAACTGCCTTAAGAAAAAAAAAAGATTAGAGAGGTCCAAGGGGATGTGAAGGGGAGACAATGAAAGCTAGAAGTGACAGTTGACAAAGATAGTGGGAGAGGAAGGAGAAAACTTACAAAAAGCTGCAAGAACTAGAAGTATAGTCTGAGTTCATTCCTGGAGGGCAAACAACCCTACATTTTTTGCCTTGTTGTACTACAGCCAGATACAATAACTGTTGCTACTGATGAAAATAAGATCATCAAGAAAAAAATTATATGGTTCCATTTAATTTACTCTGCTTGAAAAGGCAGAGATGTATGTAAACACTCCCTTAAAAAATTATTAAAATATTGACTTTTAGTTAAATATTAAAAATTTATATTAAAAAATTAAAATATTAAATTTAAATTAAAATATTAAAGCCTAGACCAACACAGCATGACCAAGTCTCTCAAACAATCTTAAGCAACTTCCAAACCCACCTAGTGAGATATCTAGGTCTTATTCACACACTTCTCCGTGATTAATTAAATGAGATGTTTTATATTAAATAATTCATTCCTGACAATGCTAGTTAAATTATGTGTTATTCTAATAGATTATTTGATCACCATAACTCCCATATTTATCTTGATGGCTTGAAAAACACTCCACTTTGTTGTCAACTGGTCCAACTATTCTAGAGAACAATTTGTAACCATGCCCAAAGAGCCGTAAAACTGTGCATACCCTTTAACCCAGAACCACCACTAGGTCTATATGCCAAAGAGAACAAAGAAAAAGGTAAAAACAAAACAAAACAAACATATATGTAGAAAAATATATATAGCAACTCCTTTTTTGTGGTGGCAAAAGAATTGGAAATTGAGGGGATGCCTATCAAGTGGGGAATGGTTGAACAAGTTGTGGGGTATGATTGTGATGGAATATTATTATGCTATGTGGAATGACAAGCAGGATGGTTTCAGAAAAACCTGAGAAGACTTATATGAACTGATGCAAAGTGAAATAAGCAGAACCAGGAGAACATTATACATAGTAACAATAATGTCGTAATGAATTTAGCTAGTCTGATCAAGACAACAATCTAAGATAATTCCAAAGGATGAATAATGAAAAATGCATACATCTCCAGAGAGAACTGATGAAGTCTGAGTGCAGATTGAAATATAGTTTTTTTTCACTTTATTTTTCTTGCTTTTTTTGCCATGTAGCTAATATGGAAATATGTTTTGCATGACTTCATATGTCTAATTGATATTACAATGTTTGCCTTATCAATGGGCGGGGGAGGGACTGGAGAGAGGGAGAGAATTCAAAAGTCAAAGTTTTAAAAAAGGAAAGTCAAAAAATATAAAATCTTCCATCGAAAGGGGTTGGGGGGGAAGAAAAACATTCTGCTTTATTCTATGTCTAACTCTACACTGTATTTTGTAGACATAGAGACAGTCATGTTTCTTTGAGACTTACTTGGCAGATGGCAGAATTTGAACAAGTTCCATATATCTGATCTTCCTGTCTCACTTACAAAACAGTACAAAATTGGATCTGCCACACAATTTAAACTCGTCAGGGCAACAGTGATTCTATAAAGTTTAAATATCTGCTTGCCGAAGTTTGTGCTGTGCTTTCCAATACTTAGAATCAGCAACATAGTATGGAAAGGGGTAAAGCATAAGAAAAAAGTGAGCGTGATACTCAAAAGCAACTTGATGATCCTCTTCTTTTCACTGTTCTCTGTGGCTTGATTATGCTTTACTGCTTGGTAGACTTTTTGGTTGCAAAATATAATTATAACCAAGGGGATCACATAACCAGTGCATGTCCGAAAGATGTTGAAATTACTTTGCCATTTCTCCAAGGGGTATTTGTCAAAACACAAAGTATAAGACTTGTTGGTACCACAGTGTTCAATAGACGTTTCATCCTTCCAGATAATGATGGCATTGAACAATGTTTCTATGATCCAGATTGATAGGCTGATGGTAAAGGCGATTCTTCTTGTTCTTAGATAAGGAAATTTCAAAGGATAGACCACTGCCAAGTATCTATCAAAGGAGATGCAAGAGAGGAAGGCGGTGCTACTGTAGAAATTCACATACATCAGGAAAGCACTCACTTTGCACAGGGCGGGAGAGAATGTCCAGTTGTCTTCATTCCAAGTGTAATGTATCCAAAGGGGTAACGTTGATGAATAGAGGAGATCAGAGAGTGATAGACCAAAGAGGTAAACTCCTAATTCATTTTTCTTCTTCACTTGCTGACATGAAACACACAGAGACCCGACATTGGCAGGAATGCTGATGACCATCACAAAAATATAAATGACGGGGAACAAATAGTGATCTACATGGTGCTGTTCTTCAATACACTCAGTTTCATTCATGATTTGTTTTCTGGCAATAGTGTCAGTTCTGTTGGGTGGTACAGGAGGTGGTACTCCTGACCTGGAGTCAGGAAGATCTGAGTTCAAATCTAGCCTCAGATCCTTACTAGCTGCATGATCTTGGGCAAGTCATTGAATCTCTGTCTGACTCAGTTTCCTCATCTGTAAAATGAGGGATAAGACTATTATCTAATTTCCAGGGTTGCTGTAAAAAATAAAATGAGATAATATTTGTAAAGTACTTTACAAACCTTAAAGTTTTATATAAATGCTAGCTATTATTGTTATTCTCTAAAAGTCCATGAAAAAGTGGAACTGTGTTATTATTAGCTTTTTGTTTTTAGCAGCTCATATACTAAGATCTCATAGGCTGGTCTTATTTTGCAATTCCATTGAATATTTGGGGCCTAGATATTTTTCCACAAATGCCTATGGATTGGTGTCTGACCATTAACTGACCAGCAGTTGATTGAAGAAACTTAATATTATGTAATCATAGTTCCAGAAAACTGACAAAAGAGATCAACTAGTCCATCACATGGCCTGGAGGTAGGACCACACTTTGTTTGTTAATCTCCATAAAACTCAAGTTAGCTTGATCACAATAGGAATAATTAATATTTTGCTTTATCAACGGTTGAAGTTTCTTCTTAAATGCCTTTGATTCTGTAAGGAAAGAGAAAACAGTTGTGACATATTTTATACTCAGGATCTAGTTTAAAAAGAAGCATTCTGGGGCAGCTAGGTGGCACAGTGAATAGAGCACTGACCCTAGCTAGAGTCAGGAGGACCTGAATTCAAATCTGACCTGAGATATGTAACACTTAATAGCTATGTGACCCTGAGCCAGTCACTTTAACCCCATTGCCTAGCCAAAAAAAAAAAAGTATTTCTTGATTGTTTTATGTTTTTTGAAATATGCTTTTCTCTCCTGAAGATCTTAAAAATGCCTTGATATATAATTCTGAAGTTTTTAAAAAGCAAATACTAAATCATAGACTTTAGGAGATGAAAAAAAACTAAGCAGTTATGTCTATCATAGAGAAACTTATAGAAAAGAAGTTAGGTTTGTAATAATAATTTTCCACAAGCATGATGAATTCCAGGGTTTCTCCCTCTTGAGGATTAATAAAATGATTAGAAAAGTGCTTCTCCCCCACATATACACACACATACATACACACACAAACACACACAGAAAAGTAATAATAAAACCATGAACATTTGTTGCTCTTGTCAGGACAGGAGAAACTCTTAGACCTGGGCTCTTTCCTGTTTACCCTTATATTGTGAAATAGGAACTTCATGCCTTTTCAATCTGACCCAGGAAAATGGCTCTAATGACAGGAATTTCAGGAAGGAGAGGAAAGGAATCCACAGTCACAGGTCATCAGAGGCCAGTGGAAGAGAGAAGAGAGGATGTTTAGGACAGAAAATGCTTCTTACATCACATTCTTCCTATGTTGCTTATGTAGCATTCTGGGCTGGGCGGCATCTCCAGCTGTCTTGTTCTATATCTTGCCACGGGACCCAAATGGCTCAAGAAGAGAAAGCGAGGCTGGTGACTTTGCACAACCCTTCCTCACTTAAATCCAATTCACTTGCATGTCATAGCATCACCTCCCTGATGTCATGGTTCTCTTCGAGGACTAAGGATAAACAACAACAACCAGGACAGGAGAAAGCATGGGGTCATGAGATTTCAAATGTGTAGTTTGTAGGACAATATCCAAATCTATATATTCTCCAAGGAAAAATTGTCATTAGCACTGCTGAAAGGTCTGTAATTTAAAAAAACCAACCAACCAAAAATCTTAACAATATACTGAATGATTTAAATTATGTGAATTTAACACGTGATATATTAGACTCTTCAACATATCTTTAGTCTTCTTGTTTTGCCAGTAAAATCACCTTTTCATATATGTATCACACACACACACACACACACAGAAATAGCATTGATCAGAATTCCAGCATGAAAGTTGGGTTTTGTTGCTAGTAGATAAACATAACAAGAGTAGGATCGTATAGCAGAAGTTTTATTGACAAAAGTATTGCCCTTTTCACTTAGTTTTTTTTCTGGCCTATCCTTTGCATACCAATCAGTTCCTTGGGTTTCCCTCCCCCAACAGTCTCTGAAATAGGTTTTGGAGATACAGAATCCCAATCAGAGATGTAACTGAATTTAAAAGGAATTTCTTAACCTTAAGTCAGATACTTATCTGGATCACTGACTTCAAACCAGCCCAGATGTTGAAGAAAAAAAAAACAAAACTAGAATTAATCTTAATGTTGGGGCGGTCTTTGTTAGTTCTTCCTGGCTGGCCACGTGTGTTGGTTCACAAAGAACCCTGATGCCCTGTGTCTTGCCAAGCCACAGATACCCTGCCTCTTGCTGAATATTTCTTCTGACCTCAGAGTCACTGAGTTTATTCTCTGATACTATCTCTTAGTTTCAGCAATCTGCTCCCATCTACGGATAGTTCTGCTGTAACCAGACATATACAATCATAAAAATCATCACGCAATGCAAAATCATGCAATAGAAGTCGCAGGGGCTTATGGGAAAAAATGGAATTAGAAACACAATACTAGGTCAGTGAAACAGTTACAAAAAAAGACAGGAATTTAATAAAAATGAAAGCATATTTTTATACATATTAAATGGTTAAGAAATACATAAATGTTACAAAAAACAGTAGCTACATCCACAGTCTCAGGCTGCTTTTCATCCTACTCCCAGATTCCCATGGGGTCTGGGTTGGCAAATTTGACGCCTATAGGGGAAAGGGTGACCTTAATGGATACAACCAGAGGAGCAGGGTGGAGAGTGGCCATAACCATGGCTGAAGCAGGGGACAGAGTATGTGAATGAGGACCAGTACTCCTCTGTCCACAACCACTGTTACATCAGAAGATATATGGCTAACTATGGCACTTTACTTTGAAAAAGATTTGAAAATGGATGTCAAAAGGGTAACAGTTTATGAGTTATCATGAAATAGTGGTTTTCTTCATTCTTGCCGTTTCTCTCAGAGGAAACTGACCATTAGCAAACCCCAAATTTTTATTATGCTCTAATTGTTCCCTAACATTTCAATAGCTGGATATAGTTAGAATAAATCTGTGTCTTCAAAACAAGCCTTATAGCAGAATCAACTTTACTACATTGTGGTGGCTATAAAACTTCTTGACAGGGACAGGCTGACAACTCTTACTGATTAGATGTCCTGTCTCATCGAGTATTAGTTATCAAGATTAAAAAAAATAGCTGTTCTAAAATGGAAAACAGGACAAATGAATTTATTTATAAAAAGGATCTTTTTTGTTGTTGTTCTACTGTTTGATAGTATTAAAGAAAATGTACCTATTTTTTAGCCTTGTTCAGTTGTTAAAGTCTGGGATGTATTTTACTAGTTCATTCTCTTTCAACAGCGTTAATATCAAGTATAGAAACATATTTATCTGTATAATAAACCTTAGTGGGAATTTCACTAGCTGTCCTCAAGTTCATGGAGAAAGGCATACATTATGTCCATGTATACATATATAAATATGTAGGATTCTTAAAGATAAGATGACAAGAATGCTTTCGGCAAGATTTATAAAGTTCTAATGGTGGTAGATCTCACTATTCCCTGGCATGGACTATGGGGAAACGTAATCTTGATAAAACTAGATGGGATTTTACCAAAACTAGGTAGCAATCTCCGCTGATTTTGGGGGCCCACACAATTGGGGTCCGTGTACTCCTAGTGCCTATATTCTTTAGAAGGGGAAGGAATGTTTTCATGAGTCATCTCCCCACAGCCTGGAAAAAACCTTAAGCAATAATGAGTGTAAATGCACAATAGAAGTTGGCTTTTCTCCTAGTAAATCATTAGAGACAATAGTTGTCGTGAGAATCGTTATGGAATATATATTTCTTATAATTTATGTACCTTTTCAGATAATTTGGGTGTAATTTTAACTGACTTTTGGGGAAAACTTTTTTTTTAAAAAGTGTTGCATTAAATTTTTAAAAATTTTCTACTTTACTTCCTTTTTACAGAAATTAAATGAGAATCTGAATGCAGGTTAATCTAAGAATCTGAAATATAGGTTAGAATCTGAAAATGATGAGAATCTGAAAGTGGGCTAAAGAAATGTGATTTTTTTTCAAAGTAAGAAAACATAAGAATCAGATCATAATTAATTTTAAAATGATGGAATATGTGAAGGAATTGTGATTTCCCCAGAGAGAGAACTCCCATGGTGGGAATGACTTAGTAGATAAATTCTAGGTACCTACGTGTTACTCAGGGTTACACACTTATTATGAACTTCTTAATATAGGATAGTTGACAATGTGATCAAAATAAAGGATATTTTTACAAAACATCATAGTAGTACTTGGTTCACTTTTCTTTATTCTAAAGTATACTCCTCAACAGTTACACACCTTCTAATCTTCATAACATTTAGGCAAAGAATATGAAAAAGAATCATTACACCATTTTGCAGATGAAGAAAGAGTAAAAGTCACTTTAAGAACCAGAAATGCCTCTAATTAGCTAAACTAGTATGCTTTCTTCTAGACCACATCATCTTAAACATGAACAATAATTCGCCAACAAATTACTTGAAAAAGAAATTACATGTAAAACATTAGGAAAATATTTTTCTTTTTTCTTTTGGTTCTGGAGATTTTTTTCCTCACTACTTCTAAGTTGGAATCTTGATATCTGCTCGTCACTACACAGGGTAAGAGAAAACTCCTATTCTTCCCCATTTGTGCCTTGCAGTAACAATGATTTGTTAATTATGTGAGTATAGAAATAACACTAAATCCTCTTTGTAAATGTTAGTCTTTTTTATATAATCATATTAACAGAAACAGTCTTAATTATAATCTTTTTAAAAAATTTTCTTCTCTCTACTTACCCTGCTGTCTCAGGAGTAGTAGCTCTTTCTGCCTACATACTTGATAAATCTGCTCACTTTAAAGAAGGGGGAAAAAGCAGCACAGTCTACAAAGACAGGAAATTGCAGACATTTCACAATAAACCAATGAGGAAGCAGCATCTTGAAATGAAAAAATGATCATAATTCAAGTTTAGGGGACAAAATACTTTCCCAAATAGTTTATAGGCTGACTTTATTTATTTATTATTCTGAAGTAAATTAAAGAAAATTCTTCTCACTCTATCTTAAGAATTATTGCATGAAATAAAGTTAATATGTTTTACTTCTATTGAGTACTCTTGTAACAAGAAGACCCAGAGTTTTGAGTTGATCAAAACTGACCCCTACAGGATTGAATCAGACACTGGTTTCATTAAATATCGTGCTTTGAACAAATAAACCAACAATTTCAGATGAAAACTAGGAAATACAGTGAGGCAGGAAAAAAAATGAATTTGAGAAAGGCATTGACCATTAATATGATGGCACCAAAGAGTCAGTCAGTCTATCAATAAACATTGATTAATAACCTCATGTATAAGGCACTGTGCTAAGTGTTAGGTTCTGGCAAAAGACAAATCCTGACCTCAAGTAGTTCAGTCTATGAAAACAACTTTGTACAAATTATACACACACACACACTTATACACACACACATTGTGTGTGTTATATGTGTGTGTGGGTGTATATAATATACATATATATGGATGATGAATTGAAAATAATCAACAGAGGAAGACATTAGACTTGAGGGAGATTGGGAAAGGTTTCTTGTGGGATTTTAGCTGAGTCCTGAAGGAAGCCAGAGAAGCTTGAAAGTAAAATGAGGAAGGAGAGAATTCTAAACATGGGAGGCTTTACAAAGAATTTTTACTGTTGCAAAATTCTACAGCTGAAGGGGCAGCTAGGTGGCACGACGGATAGAGCACCAGCCCTGGAGTCAGGAAGACTTGAGCTCAAATTCGGCCTCAGACACATAATACTCACTAGCTGTGTGACTCTGGGCAAGTCACTTAACCCCAATTACCTAACCAAAAAATGTGTAAGTCAAAGAAGTTGCTTTGGATCTAATTTTTAACTCTCATATGTGGCTTATAACTGATTTGATGCACCAAATGAGGAAGAAAACATAAAAGTGATAAGTGAGTCTTTTATTTCAAAAATTCAATTCAATAAGCATTTATTAAACAGTTAGAAGTAATTACAACAATTATTAAACAAGTTCAAGGTATTGTACAAGACTCTAGGATGAGAAGATGAAGAACAGTCCCATTCCTCCAGAAGTTCATAGCATATTATCGGGGATAATAGATATGCAAAAATATCATTCAAGGAAGAACGTGATAAAGACAACCCAAGGGTTATAAGAATTATGATGGAGTGCTGCTCAGAGAAGCTTGAGTTTCTCTTCTGTGAAAGGGCACTGAATATTTTAAAAACCAAATGAGGAAGTATTGGCTTTGCAATATATCCAAGACTTTTCATCGTAATTGTGTTGTAAGTAGTGAGATATTAGGTAAAGGGAAACTTTGCTAAACCTGCATTTTAACAACTATGACATGTAGGAACATAGAACTAGAGCTAAGAGGGACCCCAGATACCATTTAGTGCAACCCTTTCATTTTTGTAATTGTGGAACAAGAATCCCAGAGAGGTCATATTTTACTCTAGGTCACTA